CTGATTGGGGGCATGGGTGCTCACGCTGAAGTCTGAAAAAAAAACAACATTGGCATGGAAAGACAGTTTTTGGGTTTCTTTTGTATTTTCTGCACCCTCTAACGGACTAGGTATATTTGGTGCCTTCTTTTTGAAATCCCGAAATTTGGCATATGAGTTAAAAAGGATTTAAATTATTTTCCTGTCAGTTTCTACGTGGTGTTGCTCACTAGCTAAATATCTGGAAAAAACTACTAGAATTGCTTACTACTATGGCACCACGTGTGATTTCCCGATATTGACAGTTCAGGGTAAACGCGATTAAAAAAGCTTTTTCATACAATCGGCAAGAGGAGTCATGCTCCTATTCTCTTTTTTCAACAGCAAGCTAACCTCAGCTTACCTGAATTTTTTCCTTGCGGTTGAGTGGGGGTCGGTAAGACCGAAGAAGATATTCAGGAATTCTAATTTCTTGAATTTGCTATCCGGTTTGCGAGGACTAAGTCCTGGAAATGGTAATTTTGAGGTAGGAATCAAAAACATCTTTTAGACACTATACATTAGATCCAACAAGGTGGCACCCCATTACCCCAAAGCACCCACTGTTACATGCAATTGTCCATTGGAAAAGCCCCTCCTCACGTGTGCTATGCATGTTTCGGCTTCCGTTTTCTGGCGAGCCGAAGGACTACACTACCTCAGTCTGTGAGGCAATTTCCTTTCGAAACTTGGGTGGACTGACTTCTTATCGAGCCACTGAATCAGCCCCCTTCAAGGTGATAATGTAAGGAACACACCTCCCCCCACGAACGCACTCTGCCGTCACACCTCCGTAATGAAAAATCGTGCCCAAAATATGATTGCCTGTGGTGGACTCTCCTAGGAGCGTCGTCATTCGAATCTTGCTTTTAGCTACTGGAAGTATATACGCGTGTGGTATAGTGCGAAGAAATACAATAGCTTGCCTACATCACTAAATGTCATTCAAGGTACTAGTGCGTGCTTATGACTTGAAAAAAAAGTATAACTGTGAGATTTACTATTGTGCAGCATAATCCAAAGACAGCTAATTCGCTGCAGGATTCGAAATTTTGAAATATTTTTTTCCAGGCGCCTTCAAAATACAACGCTCTGTAAAAAACGAGTAATTAGGTAGTATCTATTTTTCTTAATGATTTTCGATGTCCTTATGTTTTCACATATACCTTTTAGAAAACATGCACGATAGTTATTAGCTCCTATACCCATTTAGTAGCAAATTACGTCTTTTGCGAATCTGATATTTGAAGAGAGGATTTATTTCAAATAAAAAATTTGTAATCATGAAAACGGTTGAGACCCTTAACTGTCCATCACTTCAACATCATATATTTTCATTTGCTAATGCCGTTTATAAAGTCTGCAACATTCTCCATATCCAGCTGGAATACATATGAACACCATGAAACGTTTTGGTAATAGCGTAGAGAAATTTGTCACTTTTCACAGTCGGAATGTGCAGTGTATGTTGTTTAGAAGCCCTAAATTGAAACGTAACGAAAACTCGGGGTCACAATTATTTGGCGCTTACAAAAGCTTTTTTAACAAACAAACTTACTCACGTTTAAACTGTTCAGAAGACAGAAGGAAAATCTTTGAGTACGTGTTTTATTAAATGTATGTGAATTTATCAGGTCGCCGATAATCTTTGAGACAAATTCATATTTCTCAAGAATTCTTTTTTTATTTTTTGCAGGCGGTCGGTAAGAAGCTTGTTCAACAGTCAGCATCCTGAACCTAATGAAATATCTTGGAACTAGGCTGCCTGATAATAAGTATTATAAGGGAACTTAAGAAGGGTTCTTTGAATCGGAAAATTTGTCACAATTTCGATTGCCATTTGACAAGATAGCCAATCTACTGTAAACCCAGTCCAGACGTCCGTACCAATCTGCCATTCCTCTCTCTCCCATGATATATGTGAAATCAGCTTATTCAGCTCAGTCAGTTGAGGTTGGTCAATTTAAAGAAATACGCGAGCAGCCACTACTTACGGTTTGTTATCTTGAAACCTAGAAGCTGCCAGTGAATTTTTTTTGAACTGAAGGACTCCAGAGCATGTATGACGGTGAGTTGAGTTTTCGCTCAGCAGCGCACTAGCTTCGACTCTTAACATGAGTCATTCAAACCCCCCGTTGATTAAGTAGTTTGCCAGGTTAAGCCTACGAGCTGTTTTTGTCAAGAGCAAAAATATGGTCTCCAAATCGACCTTTGTGGAAAAGGTACCTCGTGCAAAGTTACACAAGGGCGAGTCAGGATAGTGTAAATGCAGACGGTAGGCACGGAAGCTGGGTGTCTCCCTGAAGCATAAGGTTTGCAATTAGTTTTTTTTTCGGGTGGAATGTGCCGTGCTCAATGGTGGCCAAAGGCAAGAACACATGACTATTAGGCTCGCGCATTTTCTCTACTATTTAAGACAAGGTTTTGGTATATTTCCCGAAATAAATCATGTTCGCTTTTTTCTACCAGTATCGGGTTTTCCTCCCTGTGCGCACATGACTGACGGAGTTCAACCACAGCCGATGATGCTTCAGAAAGTTTGTCAACTGAAAGGGTGTATGACCATTCGCCCTCAACTTTGATGGTTCCTTGCAAAATTTCCTTTATTTATTTAGTTCGTAGTGTTTGAAGATACAAGCAGTGAAATCCCCCCCCATTTGCGGTAGCTTTTTAACCAAACACATACGTCTGTAGGGTTATCGTGCGACATTGTTAGTGAAAATACTGTATTCTCTGAGAAGAAGGAAGCGGCAAATTCGGTGATGTGTAACTGGAGATTGTCGTTCAGACCAAAAACTTTGGACGGTTGTGCGGTGCTCTCTTTTTCTCTTGCCAAATTTTCTGTTCAGAAACGCTGTATATGCATAGTATAGGAGTTCCCATAAGAATGTTTCGTATTGATACGAAACATACAGTCTCAACAAATATCCCAAACGTCTCACACTCATTATTGAAAGAATATTAGGTAAAGAAAAGACACAGAAAGATGTATATATGTTTACTTTTGGTATGATTATCGGGAAAGGCCAGCAAAAGCTACTGATATTTAATCAAAAAGTCTCCGAATTTTATTCTCCCAGGATTGCAAGAAGGTACTTCCGGTAGTCACCAGTTGTGTCTCCTGTGATCCATTTTGCCAGGCTTTTGTCGTATGTGCTGTCGAACGTAGCCCTTATGGTGGCCAAATCAACCTGAAATAAAAGAAGTTCACATCAAGTTCTTTCTCTCAGAATAACGTTATATCTAGTGTAGAAACTCATTTTAAAAATGATCTTAAAGTTGAATACACATACCTCAGAGTGGGCGATGATCATTCGAATAAGGTTGTCATCACGAGTGCCGAGGCCTTTCATGGTCTTGTAGAGAATCTCAGCATAGGTCTTATT